GGGATGATTTACTTCCAAACTCTTTGATCTGGAAATTTATTCCAAGGGCGTTGATGTGGTCAGTGTGGAAATGTAGAAATGAGGTTTATTTTTCAGAAAGTAAAGTTGGATGTGGTGAGATTGTTCTTTATTGTTCGTTTTAAAATAGCTTCCTGGTTTGTTGCAAAGTTAAAGGATGTGCATATCCCTTTAGACTCACTTGTGGGTGATGTAAAACTTGCTGATTTGGTGGGAAGTCAGGGAAATGGTAGCTCTTAACCAATTTGTTGGGTTCCTCCTCCGGATGGGTTCTTAAAGCTAAATGTTAATGGAACGATGGTAAAGGGTTGGGATAAGGGAGGCATTGGTGGTCTGATTCGGGACAGCAATGGTGTGTTGCTTCAATGGTTTTCAGAAAGAGTTGGGGGTGGTCCTCCTATCTTGGCAGAATTATTGGCGATTAAGAGGGGGTTATGTCTTCTGGAAGATTTAAGTTATGTTCTTAATCAGAGGTTTATTCTTGAATCAGATTCAAGCAATGCTCTGAAGTGGATCAAGAATCCGGGTTTATGCACTCCTATGTTTCAATCATTGGTGAAGGATATAGTCTCTCTTATGGCAGGGAAGGATATCATTATTAGGCATATCTTGAGGGCTGCAAATTGGGAAGCTGACAAATTAGCTAAAGATGGGATAGGGTGATGTTTTGGTTTCTGTCTACTTGTGTTGAGGTGTAGGAAATGTTATTTCCTATGTTTAGCTGTTGTGTTTAAGTTTTATGTAATTCATGGTGGTGTTAGCAGATTGTTAGGTTCTGCCTATGTTGTACTATTGTTTCATCTAAATAAATTTTTAGGTACTCTTTTCCTCCTTTCTTTGTCCTTCATGTTACTTACATAACATGGAGGGCGAAAAAGGGTTTTTTTTAATGAGGCCTAATCTTCTATAAAAAAAACTACTTTTTCAAATAATATATTGCTTCACACTCCAATATTCTACGCTCCCCCTTGAGTATATGTTGAATATTCTCAACTTGGATGAAAAATCATCTAGAACTGGTCTTGGAAGAGCTTTAGTAAGGATATCGACCAATTGATTCTTTATTGGAACGTAGTTGAGTTGAACTACTTCACTGTTGACTTTTTCCAGATAAAATGCCTATCTATCTCCAAATGTTTAGTGCGATCATGTTAGACAGGATTTTTTGCAATACTAATAGCAAATTGACTATCAGTTTGCAACTTGAACTGCTTACAACCTTTTAATTTCAGCTTGGACAACATTCTTTGCAACCACATGAGCTCAGAAATACATATTGCAAGAGAGCGATACTCAGCTTCTGCACTACTTGAGACCACAACCTGCTTCTTATTTCTCTAAATAACTAGATTTCCCAATGCGAAGGCATAATACCCACTCGTTGATCTTTGGTTAGTGAGTTCACCTGCCCAGCTCGAGCCAGTATAGACTTTAACTGACCTTCACTTTTCTTAAATAACATGCCAGGTCATGGAGTTGTCTTCAAATGTCGTAAAATACTGTGTACTGCATCAAGGTGTTCCTTTCTTGGGTTATTCATGTGTTGGCTAACAACACTAACCGAGAAAGCAATGTCAAGTCATGTTAGAGATAAAGAAATTATCTTACCCACCAAACACCGGTACTTCTCTTTGCTCACTGGAACACTTACATTATCTTTTTTGAACTTCAAGTTAGATTCCATTTGTGTCTCGATTGGTTTACATCCAAGCATACCCGTTTCTATCAAAAGATCAAGAATGCATTTCCTTTGACAAATAACAATCCTGGCCTTGGATCTTGCAACTTCCATTCCCAGAAAATACCTAAGATTGCCGAGGTCTTTGGTTTTAGACTCCTTGGCTAGAGAAAATTTTAGCCTCTTTATTTCCTCAATATCATCTCTGGTGACTATTATGTCATCCACGTGCACAACCATAATGGTTCTTTTTACCTTAATGAATAAAGTGTGGCCGGTTTGACATTGATTGTAACCATTTCCAATTATCACTTTGGAAATCTTGTCGAACCAAGCCCTTGGAGATTGCTTTAAAACATTCAACGATTTTTGCAACTTGCACACTTTATGTACTGTCCAGTCTTTCTTCATGCTGAGAGGAATTTCCATGTACACGTCTTTACACAAGTTGCCATTCAAGAAGGCATTCTTTATGTCTTATTGATGAAGTGAGTCAAGTGACTACTCCAGGTTCACGGCTAAAGATAATAAGACCCTCAATATGTTTAGCTTCGCAATTGGAGCAAAGGTCTCTTGGTAATCTATACTTTAAGACTGTGTGAACCCCTTTGCCACTAACCTTACTTCAAATCTCTCAATGCTGCCATCTGAATTGTATTTGTTGGTGAAAACCCATTTGCACCCCACTGGTTTCTTTACTTGAGGTAATTCTGTTAAGTACAAGTTCCATTCTTTTCAAGGGCTCACATCTTTTCCTCCACTGCGTTCTTCCATCTAGGATCGCCTAGAGCCTCTCCTATTGTCCTTGGAATTGGTGTACTATTAACACTTATTGTGAAAGCCTTGAAAGCAGACATCAAATGGTTATAAGCAACATACTTTTGTATGGGATGAGCAGTTCACTTTCTTATACATTTCCTTTGAGCATTCAGCAAATCATCATTAATAACAAGAGGAATAAGATTTTCACTAAAAGATTTCATACCTTCCAAATTTTCCACGGTAATTGGATTCAAGTTCAACTCTTGGCAGCTTCTATGTTATAGAGTGGACTTCGCTCTCCTTTTGTAGACATTAAGGTCCCTTCTTTGAGGTGTTTCAGAATGCAAGGTTTTATTGGAGAAGGTTGGAGGAGGTTCAGAAGATAATATCTTTGAGATGTAGGATTGGAAAGAGGTTCAGAAGCTAATATCGGTTGAGATGTAAGATTGTAAGGCAAACTTGTCAAATGTTGAAGGCTTTTAAAAAACTGTACTTGAAATTCATCCTGAATCTCCCACTGAATTTCAGATTTCAAAAAAATAAGGTTTAGTACTAGAAAATTAACATCCATAAAAGTCCAAATAGCATTTATTGCCCTCCTTGGTAGATGAATAGTCGAGAAAGATGCATTTTAGTGGCCGTGGATCCAATTTAGATCTATGATTAGAATAAATATGAATGAATGCAATACAACCAAAAATCTTGAGAGAAAGATCACATGAAGAAGGTTTGAACCAAGAAAATTTAACAAGAACATCGCTAAGAGATCGAAAGTGAAGAACATGACTAGAAACTCTATTAATATGATAAGTGGCAGTAAGAATGGCTTCCCCCCAAAACATTTAGTAATATTAGAAGTGAACAAGAGACCTAGCTACTTCCAAAAAATGTTTATTTTTATGTTAGACAATCTCATTCTATTGAGGACTATTAACACATGATGATGAACTGATGTGAACAATACCCTTTTCTTCAAAGTAAGACCTGAGAAAGTTAGAGAAATATTCGCTTCCATTATTGGTTTTAAGAATTTGAGTTTTAAGAATTTGAATCTTACTTTGAAATTGATTTTCGACCATGTTGGAAAAGGAAAAAGATTGCATCGGCTTCTGATTTATCCTTCATGAGAAAAGTTCAAGTTGTTCTACTGTGGCCATCTATAAACGTTATGAACCACCTGGATCCATAACATTTTTTACCGGAGGGCCTCATATATCACTATTGATGATGGAAAATGAGTGAGAAGATTTATAAGTGGAGGGAAGATACAGTGTTCTGTGATGTTTGACAAATCGACAAGTGTCACAATGGAAAAGCTTAACCTTTTCATTAATGAATAAAGTTGGGTATAATTTGGCAAGATAAAAGAAACTTAGGTGTCTTAATCTAAAATGCAATAACCTATTCTCACTTGAAATAGGGTCGAAAGTGGGAATAAATTGCGAAATGCAACTGGAATAGGCTTGTTTTGATGGAGAAAGAGAACCTTAGAGTATGTAAAGTCCACCAGACAACCTAGCATTGTCAATTATCGTAAGTCACGAGATAATTTACTAAAGATAACAAATTGAAAGCTTATTGTGGAACATAAAGCATAGATTTTAAAACAATATCCTTATTGATCAGAAATGTTTCGCTCCCTTCAATGGGTACCTAGGAACCATCAATTGTTTTGACATTGAACTTGATCTCAAGAGTACTAAATTCTGTAAACAAGCGCAGATCTCCTGTCATGTGATCAGAGGTTGCGTTGTCAACAACTCAATTAGTAAAATCGTTATCAATGACATTAGCAAACTAATGACTACCGTCACGTGCAGTAGAAATCTTTTATGTATTAGGAGGGAAATCATTTATGGGTATGTGAGATAGACTAGCTCCTGAATTGATTTCAAAGATTTCATCGCCGACCATTGAATCAAGGATGGAATAGAAAAATCAAAAACCTAAGCTGATACCATGTAGAAAGTAAGGATTTAGGAACAACAATCAAAATGATACTCTAAATATCTTGATTGATTAGAAGAGAAATACAGCTTCATTCAAATAGGCTGAGTAGAAGAGTTTAAATATGATTACAATTACTCCTAGATAAGGTTCTATCCTATTTAGAAGATAAAAGGATAAAGTTATAGTTAATCTAAACTACTAAATCAAATAAGATAGAGTTATAGTTTCTAAACTATCAAATCAGATAGGATGGAGTTATAGTTAATCTAAACTACTAATTCTAATGATTTACTGCTTCTCACTCTAATAGTCTACAATTATATATTATCTCCTTTTGAGGATTAATTGATTCATGTTTGATCTGATTGGAACTGGGCCTCATAATTGAGTTTTGAATATACTGAAAAATTATATTGGTCGGTCATGCTTGTAGCATTGATCATTGTTGCACCCCGTTTTGCTATTTGGCTAACTAATCAATTTTTTGTAATTTTTTTTGAATATAAATAAAAAATTATATTTAGCTACTTCTTTGCTCCAGTTGAAAAAAAAAAACTATATTTACCCAAGTTACTATGATCTCTATTTGCAGAAATTCAGACTATACTTGAAGAGAATAAGTGGAGTGACTCAACAAGGTGGTATTTCAAATCCACTTTGTGGGCCAGTAGAACCAAAGGTTAAAATTTGTTCACTTGGGAGATTTAACGTCCAATCATTGGCGGCCTCTGGACAAATTCCTCCACACTCCTTAGCAGCCTTCCATGCTGAGCTCCTAGGTCAACCAACTGGTAATTTAGCTACAGCCATGGACCAGCCAGCTCTTCTTCAAGCATCCCTTCAAGGGCCCAAGTCGATTCAAGTTGACCATGGTGTCACATTTGTTCATCCTTTACTAAAATGCAAATACAGCAGTTTCAAACACTTACCACAATCCTTTGCCCCTGTCGAAGATGCTTCTTCTGGATTCAGAGGATGGCCCTCGAATAACATCTGTACAGCAGGACCTGGTAATATCGGAGGGTTAAGTTCTCAGAATGGTAACATGCTTATTGATTTGTTGCTGCAAAATCAACAACTCCAGAAATCACAGCAGCAACCTACTGTTCCTGAGCTTTGCCCTTCGATCAACGTGCAGCCATCTTGCCATGTTGCACCGTCTCAGTCATCTGCTAGTTTTCAGGTAGGAAATAGTCCCATTTCTGTGACCCAGAATGGCAGCTTTAGTAGGACTTCTGGTATTGGTTACAATCTTCTTTCGTCTCAATCAAATTGTTCTTCATCGAGTATCGGGCAAGTCTCTGATGTTAATCTCCAAAGTACTGGTGATATTTGTGGCTATATTCTCCCTGCTGCTGTTTCTCCATCTGTTTCATCCTGCTCAGTAAATGCTGAAAATTGTGCTAGTCAGCAAGTTCAAACCTCAAGCATGACATTTAAAACACCCAGGAATTTTCCAGGATTTGTACATAGCACGAGCAATATTCAGGATTCCTATGGTTCTACCAAGACTGGAGATTTTCTTGATCAAGCACCTTTTAGTAATCTTGGATATATCAACAAAGGAACCTGTCTCCCTTCCCGGTATCCTGTTGATGGATTTCAGTCACCTTTGAGCAGCTCTAGCCTTGGAAAGGTTTTCAGTGAGAACTTTGGTACCAGAGTGAAGCGGGAGCCAAATATGGAGTTTGGGGATAATGCGAAAGTGGGAATACCAATGCTACAGCAATTTCCTCCAAATGATCTCATGAGTGTTTTCACTGAATAGGTATATTTAATTTGGTCTTTCTAAATTTTATTGTCCTAACAGCATGCATGTGCATAAGTTGATTTGTCCTTTTGTTGCTTTTATGTGGCGTTTATTTGACTAAAAGTAATTTGCCACTTGGTTCATTCGCTAATGAAAATTTCCCATTTGCTCTGCTTGACCTAATTTGAAAGCAACACAGTGTCTTTGCATGTGAATGCTAGGAATCAACATTTGGCTAGTTATGCGGATCAGTCTATCACTATCAAACGATATCAGTCTATCACTATCAAACTATGTTGTTCTGAATCTTTTTTTTCTTTCAAAAATACCCATTTCAGACTAGGTATGGATCATTGAAGGGTTTTCCAGATTTATGGAAATCTTGTAAAACAAAAAGAAAAAACTGAACATGTCTTAGACACAACTCTGTGCAACATAAGTATAATTTATTGAAGTGCTATGAAAAAATGGGTGTTCATCTTGTGATTAGAATCAATTTCCTAGGAATTTTATCAAACATAACCTAAGAGTCGTTCTGTTGTTTTTTTTCCTTTCTGGGAAGCACTAATGGCATGCATATAGACAATATTTACAATGTTTAATTTTTGGGAATTACTGAATACAGTGCGCTTCTAATACAGGCTTGCATTGTATGGTGAGAACAAAGACTTATCTTAGTTTTCTTGTGTGGTTAGCCGTTCAGATAGTTTCCATTTGAAGTCTTAGTAATATGAAGCTACTTGGTATATGGAAATTCCAAAAGAGCAGGAATTGAATTCTGCTCTCTTTTGTACATTTCCGGTGACGGTGTAGGCATTCCACGCGTCTAGCCTAGAATGATAGTATGTGGTAATTAGTCTGCAGGAAAAATAAGTTGGGAGATGGCTTGCTTGTATGTATTTATGTTCAAATATTATGACATCATGTGTAGAGTATTTGGGTAGTCAGAATTCTCATTTAATTTAATACTCAAATGAGTCTATTTCTCCTCATATCTTATTCTCTGTTTTTCTGGAAATACTGGTAATATGCTAATATTCCTGTGAGCATTCCATTCAGAGTGGATATATGCCATGTTATCCCGAGTTTTTCTTCTAATAAAACTTATTTGTATTTGTATTCATTTATTTGAGCATGTTACTGATAATATGATTTTTAAATGTACAAAATATTTACAAATTTAAAAATCTGTATGGATGTTTTATTTTTAATTTACATTTAGCATTCCTGTAAAATCTTTTTATGTATATGTATTTAATCTTGTCGGTGAAATTTGTGTTTTCATCTTTGTAGTAAATTATAGGATAAAATATCCAAACAGTTATCCAATTATTAGTAAGTTTTTAGCTGGATAATCCAATTTTAAAGAATTATGTTTTTTATCATGACTATAAAAATAAAAATAAAAAACTATATTAAAAATGAAGTGTTTTTGTCTCTTTCAATTTTCGCTTCTCTCTCATTCTCTCACTTCGATGATGAGTAATTTTATCTGTTAAATATAAAAGTTGTATTATCTTATAGAATACACTAGAGAATCTGAGATCCATTAATATTATAGTTTTTCTAATGAAATATTACATTAAGCTACACGTCTTAATCATGTTTAAGAGCTAAATAAGTTCCAACTACCGAAACCAATTAATTAGATTGATTAATTAACCATAGAACAAATCTCCCTTTAACATACAAACGTTGACATCTTTTAAAATATATTTAATTTGAAAATGATATTTTTAATATATATATATATTTTTGTACCAGTAGCCATCTAACTCCTGTATGTCGTTGAATTATTAAAACTGTGATGACATTGTCGTTATCTTTATTTTTTTTTTCCTTCAGAAAATTTTAAACTACTGTGACTATTATCATTGATTGTCAATAGTTGTTCATGAAAAGATTAATATCAAAATATTTTTTATTTCTCTTTTTTTCCCTTCTCATCGATATATTTTTTTACGGAACTCACTCAAAATTCATGAAAATCTTTCTAAAACTTCGACCTTTTAATGCTTTGATCTCATATTGTGGTCTTTGAATGAGTCTAGTTTTGAGATATACTATTCATTGTCAAGGGGGAGAAGAGAAAAGGAGATTAGACGAGAGAAAATTGGGGATTCAAAAGCAAGGGTTAGGGATTGAAACAAATGAATTGGAAAATTTGACCTGGGAATCACGTGAGGAGCACTGGGGAATTAATTCATAGTCATCAGGCCAATAGATTGTGAATGAACCAGCCCAAGTTACCTGCAGAAAAACGTTAAGTTTGTTAGCTAAGGACAACCAGCTGGCTATTTCTTTAGATTCCCTTTACTGTGTAAACAAATAAAACATGTACAAGATGTAAGGGAGGCACGATTATTGTGAATGGAAGTTTCTTTTCCTGAAATCTCAATTCGTCTTTCTTTCTTATGTCCCAACTATTCTATTTTTCGATTAAGATTATAACAATTGGAATCAGGAGCCATAAGTCCTGACACGTTAAAATCTGGGTACGCCAAAGAAAATCAAACGATGGTTGAATCTACTGACCTGTCTACCATTCAAAAGTAGTTTGAAGATTTGTCCACACTAGTGAAGCAAGCCATAGACGACATTAACCATCCTAAGTGGTGGGCAACACAGGATGACCACATCACTAGTTTGGAGACCTAGATGAACAATAATCAAGGTTATGTGGAACACATCTTGAAGATTTTGATTGGGAGGAATGAAGACCAAGATCAATCAACTTCTGAAGGTGACCAAGCACAAACCCCTACAAATTCTAAAGCGTTTGGGAAGAAACTGAAACTTGTTATGGCAATAGTTATAAACGATAAGTCCCGTTTTTCCTATAAAACGAATGAACCTAAGATTCTAAAATCCATTCCTGATGATTGTCAAACCATAAAACAAAATTTGAAGCTGGTTAACTAAATGAGAGAAAATAGTGGCCTGAAATAGAACCTAAAAGGGCAAGATGATGATAGAAAAAGGCTAGGAGGATCTTTTAATAGCTCAGGTTTCATGTTACATAAACCTAGAGTAGAATCACCATTCTTTGATGGGGTAAACCAAGGGAATGGATCTAAAAGTGTCATAAGTATTTTTACCTTTATGGAGTATTTGATGAGTAGAGGGTTAAGGTGGCAACGATGTATTTGAAAAGACGAGCAGAAACCTGGTTTGATGGGTATATAATGCAGAAGCACCAGGTTCACTGGCATTAGTTTGAAGCAGATTTGTGTCACAGATTCAATGATAAGTCATTCCTTGATATCATTGAGGAGTTCAACAAGCTGATACAAAAGGGTGGTGTAGATGAATACCAAGATAAGTTTGAAGAATTAAAACCCTATATGCTGATATTGAATCTTACCTTGGGGGAGTAGTTCTTTGGCTCTATGTTTATTGGTAGACTGAAAGAAGAACTAAAGCATAGGGTGAAAGTATTGGATCCTGAAACTGTAGCAGAAGCTAGAAGACATGCCAAGCTCTATGAACTCTTAGATGAATTTGAAACTAAAAGGCAGAGGATGAATTTCAGAAACTCACCCTACCCAAATCTAGCAGTTTTTCCAAAACCAACAACCACACATGCTTTTTCAAAATCTCACTCCAACAAGTAAACCAAACCAAACATAATGGAGTATAGAAGACAAAACAACTTATATGAACGAAACTTATCGAAACGAGGCATACAAAGATATTTGCTTCATCACAAGTTTTTTGACTGAAACAGATGAAAGACATACTGAAGATAGAGTGAATGCGGAGTATGAGGACAATTCATTGGAGGAGGAACAATCTAGTTTACTTCAAGCTAGACCAAGTATGAGATTCGAACCCCTTGATTTCAATGAATTTGTTCCTCCAAAATCTTCGATGCAGTATGTACCTACTTTAGAACTTAAACCGTAGCCATCAAATTTGAAATATACGTATCTAGATAGCGATAATGCTTTACCATTTATAGTTTCTGCTAATCTAACCCCCGAGCAAGAAGGTAGCTTGTTGAATGTTTTGTCACAACACAAAAAAGCTCTAGGTTGGACTATGACAGACTTAAAGGGAATCAATCCTACAATATGTATACATAAGATCTAGCTAGACCATTGCCATAACAACTCAGTGTAACCACAAAGGAGACTTAATTCGATAATGAAAAAAGTGGTGATGAAGGAATCAAATTCGATGCTGGGGTGATCTATCCAATATTTGATAGCTTTTGGGCCAGTCCAGTTCAATGCGTACCGAAGAAAGGTAGAGTGACCGTGGTAAAAAAATGAAAATGATGAGTTTTTGCCTACAAGAACTGTCACAGACTGGCGGATTTGTATGGATTATAGAAAGCTCAACAAGGAAACAAAGAAAGACCACTTCCCCCTTCCTTTCATTATTCAAATGCTTGATGGTTAGAAGGCAAGGCATTTTACTGCTTACTTGATGAATATTCTAGGTATAATTAGATCGCCATAACACCAGAAGATTAGGAGAATACCATCTTCACCTGCCCATATGGCACATATGCCTTTAGATGAATGACGTTTGGACTATGTAATGCTCCGGTAACTTTTTAGAGGTGTATGATGACCATTTTCTCATATATGGAGTAGGACTTCATAGAAATATTTATGGATGACTTTTCCGTCTCGGGTGATGACTTTGACAATGCCTCGATAATTTATCTAAAGTGTTGAAGAGATGTGAAGAGTCCAACCTTGTGTTAAACTGAGAGAAATGTCACTTTATGGTGACAGAAGGAATTGTGTTGGGAAACAAAATTTTGCGCCAAGGCATCAAGGTTGATAAAGCTAAGGTGGACATGATTGAGAATCTACTTTCACCCACCACTATGAAAGGCATAAGAAGTTTACTAGGGCATGCAGTATTCTACAGATGGTTCATCAAGGATTTTTCAAAGATTTCAAAGCCTTTGTGTCTTTTGCTTCAACAAAATCAATCGTTCATGTTCAATGACGGCTGCCTCAGTGCATTCACTAATCTAAAGAAAAAGCTTACCTCAGCACCAATTTTAGTTCCACCTAACTGGGACGCCCCTTTCGAGCTAATGTGTGATTCCAATGACTACATTGTAGGGGAAGTGCTAGGGCAAAGAAAAGGTAAAATCTTCCATGTCATTTATTATGCTAGTCGTACCCTTAATTATACTCAACTCAATTATACCACTACTAAAAAAAATTGCTTTATGTGGTATTCTCTTTTGATAAGTTTAGGCCATATCTTATAGGGACTAAGGTCATATTGCGTACTGATCACTCTTCCATTAAGTACTTAGTTAATAAAAAAGATGCAAAGCCTAGACTTATTAGATGGATATCATTGCTGCAAGAATTCAATTTAGAGGTAAAGGATAGGAAGGGTATTGAAAACCAAGTAGTGAATCACTTGTCTAGGCTAGAGAACAAAAATATTTGTCATGACATGAAGGATATTCAAGAGGATTTCCCTGACGAGAAAATTTTATTTGCCGCAGCAGTGCCGTGGTACGCTGACATAGTTAACTTTTTTGTTAGTGGTATTATACCTCCAGATTTATCTAGCCAAGGCACAAAAAATTCAGATATGATGTATGCCACTATTAGTGGGATGAACCATTCCTATTCAATCAGTGTGGAGACCAAATCATCCGACGACGTGTCCCTAAAAAAGAACACAAGGAGATCATATTTCATTGCCATACATCCCCGTGTGGAGGACACTTTGGTGGGATTAAGACTACTACAAAGGTCCTTTAATACGGCTTCTACTGGCCCACATTTTTCAAAGATGCACACGACTTCTACAGGTCATGTGATTGTTGCCAGCGCACTGGAATATATCGAAAAGCAATGAGATGCCAGGGTAAAACATTTTGGAAGTTGAACTCTTCGATGAATGGGGGATCGACTTTATGGGACTCTTCCTATAATCC